CATTAAAATTATTTTTTTATTGGGGAACAGCCATGGTCATTGGTTACACATTGCTTTCATGCTACGATGACATAGTTGACTCTTAAGGAGGGCGCAGCTCACAGTGGCCCATGAGGAGCTTGAACCAGCAACCTTGGTGTTATCAGCACCACACTCTAACCAACTGAGCTAACCGGTCACCCCACAAAATTCTTTTTTTTTTTTAGATTTCTTTTTTAATTGGGGAATTGGGGGAGGGAGGGGAACAGTGTTCGGGAATCGGGGAAGAAGAACAGACAAGTTGCTGTTCTTTTTTTGTTCTTCAGTCTAGTTGTGGAGGATGTTGCTTCACTGGCCCATATTGGTATTATCATTGCGCTCTTCCCAGGTGAGGCAGATTGGTCGCTGGCCTCTGGACAGCTGCTCACAGCAGCTCTTGGCAGCTCACACCGGCTGACAGCCACTCACGCTGGCTGCTGGCCACACACGGTAGCTTATGGCAGCCCACTGCAACAGGGGCTGCAGCCTATGCTGTTGCCAGCAACTCATGGCAGCCCAGCTCCAGGTTGAGCTGTTGTTCACCATCTTAGCTGTAGAGGGCAGTGTCACTTGTCCTCATGTGGGATCCGAACCGGAGCCCTGATGCTCAGAGCTGGCGTCCCAAGCCAGCTCTTAACCCACGTGCCACTTAGCCGGCCCAAAATTCTTAACTGATTTGAGGTCACGTGTAGAAAAACAAACACCACCCGCACCAACGAAAGATTAGCAGATCAGATTTTCTATTGTCTCTCAATCAACAAATGCTAGGTGTCCATCATGTATGCTAAAGAGATCACCAAATGGTCAGTCCATAAAATTGAAGTCCATAAAATTGAATTCCCTATCACTGCTGCCACCCAAAACAAAAAACACAAATACAGCAAAAAGGAAAAGGAAAAATAAAAAAACAAAAGAAAGAAACTAGAGAAATGGAGTCAGCACACTGGAAGTTCTGTCACACTTGGGATTCCCTCCAAGTGCCAAGAAAAGAAGTGCCTGGACTCATGGAGCCCATGAGGACGCTTCTCCAACAATGCAGGTTACTTGATTCTGACAGCTGAATCCACTGGGGCATCTACACGGAGCCTCTAAAACGGCTCATTTCCCACAAGGCAAATCGTGACCCTTAGGCAAAAATAAAATGAATACATACTGAAGGTTTTATTATGAATGGTTGAAAGCATTTTAAAAGCTAGGTAATTTAACCAAGAAATGTCACAATCGGGTGGCTGAGTTAGATTTTAAAAAGCTGGTTAATGTCCAACAGGGCATAAATCTTTGGGGTTGTCTGTTCCATCAGACAAAAATAATTTACATCTCTCCTGGACAAAATCTATAAGTTAACTCATGGCTTCATTTAGTCCCATGAGATGAATTAGTTGCAATCCTATAGTCTAGAACAGGGGTCGAAAAACTGCCGCTTGCGAGCCACGTGCAGCTCTTTGGGTATGTTCCATCTCAAAAGTTTGCCAAGCCCTGGAAGAGCCAATCCTGTCCCTCACAACAACTTAAAAATTATTCGAGGGCCGACCGAATGGCGCGTTGGTTAAGAGCTTGCTTGGGATGCCAGCTCTGAACAGCAGGACCCCGGTTCGGATCCCACATGAGGACCAGTGACACTGCCTTCTACAGCTAAGATGGTGAACAACAGCTTGACCTGGAGCTGGGCTGTCATGAGTTGCCAGCGACGGTGTAAGCTGCAGCCCCTGCTGCAGTGGGCTGCCATAAGATACTGTGAGTGACTGGCAGCCAGTGTGAGCGGCAGGCAGCCGGCGTGAACTGCCAAGAGCCGCAGTGAGTAGCCGTCCAGTGGCCTGTGACCGATATGCCTCATTCGGGAAGAGCACAATGATAATACCAACATGGCCCAGTGAAGCGACGTCCTCCACAGCTAGACTGAAGAACAAAAGGACAGCAACTTGTCTGTTCCCCTTCCCCGATTCCCCAACACTGTTCCCCTCCCCCAATTCCCCAATAAAATCTTAAAAAAATATTATTCGAGAGCCATCAATATATTTTTACGTAATCACCATTATGTGAATAATATCCTTTAAAAATTTTACAAATGAAACTATGATAGTTTTATTTTCATTTTCAATTTTACTTCAGAGCCACGTGTACATACCCAAAGAGCCGCATGTGGCTTGTGAGCCACAGTTTGCTGTCTCCTGGCGGTTCTTCTGTCTCAAAAGTTTGCTGACCCCTGGTCTAGAAGATGCTTAGGCGGCTTTGACCCCTGTAGAATACTGAAAGGAAGTGCTGTGCACCTTTTGGGCTTATTTTCAAGTTCCAGATAATTTTTGGACACTCATAAACCCAATTTGGGGAGAATTAGCTACTGTCCTCTATTAGGATCCTAAAGGGATGAGACTCAGAACAGATAAATGCTGGATGGAGGATGGGAAAAGGTGTGGAGGAAGTTCAAAGCTCTGCTGAGAGGGCTACCTTGATGGGGGCCAGGAGGCTCAAGGGGAGGCCGTGGGTCAGGTTGGGCGTGGGACTCCAAAGCTGGAGAGAGGGTGGGGTGGGAGTGGCTGAAGACAAACATCCCCTTTTTTGAGGGTGGCTCAGAGGCTTCCCCAGTGGGAATAGCTCCCAACTCACCCCTTCCTTACAGGTGGCCAAGTTCAGCTTCCTGGGCAGCGAGGAGGAGCCTGAAATGATATTTGACTGGGTGGATGTGGAGCGGAAGGGACGTCTCTCCCTCGAAGAATTCAGCTCTGGGCTCAGTATGTCTGTCCGGGGAGGGCCCCTGGGGACTTACTGCACAGCCAGTGTGCCCAGCACGGGGCGAGGCTGGGCTGACAGGAAGGACGACAGGGACACTTTACCAACTAGAGGACCTTCACAACATCCCAGAGATGTCCAAGGCGTGCATGATAATCCTGATTACTGTGGGATGAGGTCACCGAGCCTGCGGGGGAGGCAGTTGGTTTGAGGCAGATCTGGTTCTTTCTTTTCCCACCAGCCTAGGCAGCTCATTGGCTGGGGGCTCCCCCAGAGCATCCCCCTCCTCCAGAGAAGACTCCAGGCGTGCTTTCAGATGCCCAACTTGTCTTCTCCCCAGTGTTTTCCCTTGAGCAAGAGGTTAAGCACCCTCTATTCTTGAGGTGACAGGCCTTGTTTGCAGCTGCAGAATTCTGGCTTTAGTCAAGGGAATTCTAGGCCCTAGGGAGTGACAAAGTGTGAAATTTAGTGAGTGGGGACTTCCCAGGTTCTCAGCCCCCACTGGGCAGAGCTACTCCAACACCTGCTTCTCAAGACAAACCCAAAAGGACCTAAAGAGACCAGAGCTGGCAGGAAGCAGTGTTCCCACTGATCTCGATGCGGGAAGACCTTAGGGCCCAGGGAATGGAAGGTGTGGTGTCTTTGCAGAGATCCTGCAAAGCACAGCTTAGCCTTAAATGTCTGCAAAGCCAGCCAGAGTTCTTAGGTCTGCTGAGTCTCCAAAAGTTTGGGGGACAACAGAGAGAGAGGCCAGGGCTCTGCATTTATTATTTGGGGCCACCCCAGGGGGTGGCTGCTCCCATTCTGATGATTGAGAAATGAAAATGGGGAGGGGGTATTGGGGCCTGGAATCAGGGTTGGGGATTGGAGAGAACATTGTTGTCTATAGAGCTCCAAGGGCCATCTTCGCATCTGTATCCAATCGTGCCCACCATGCCAAGGACTTCCCAATGCCTGTGGAACAAAATCTAAACCCTTTCCCGGGATTCACAGAGCAGCACCGTCCAGACTCTGCCAACCTCTTGGGTCTCACTCAGTGCTACTCACCTCCTCCAAAGGGTCAATATGGCTTCTACCTCAGGGCCTTTGCATGTACTGTTCTCTCTGCCTGGAATATATTTCCCTAGGAATCCATATGGCTTGCTTCATCTTGTTATTCCCATCTCAGTTCCAATGTCACTTCCCTGGGGCACTCCTGACCACTCCCTCTAAAGTAATAGACCCTGGGCCAGCCGAGTGGCTCAGTTGGTTAAGAGCTCGCTCAAGAGTTTGAGCTCTGAGCAACAGCGGTTCGATGCCAGCCCCGAGCTGAGCAGCCGCTAAGCTACCAATAGGTAGCAGGATGGCTCAGCTAAAAAAAAAAAAAAAAATTAAAAAAAATAAAGTAATAGACCCTGTCCAGTTTCTCAATGGAAATTATCCTCTTTATTCCTTTAGCTTATTTAGTAAATTTACTTTTAAAAAATGTATCCATTTCAGCACTCACTAGAATGTCAGCTCCATTAGGACAGGGATTTTGGCTAATTTTGTCCCCAGCACATAGTAGATGCTCAATAAACATCCCTTGACTGAGTAAATGAAGAATGTGTTGGCCATTATAGAGCTGCCGTGTGACTTCCAGAAAGTCTTTTGGCCTCTCTGAACCTCAGATGTTCACCTGTAAAATGGGCACAGTGTCTATCCTGAGTAGACTCCCAAGGTTGACATGAGGAATGTATGAACATGACCCTGTATAAATGTGACCAACCCGGATATAATTATTTCCCCAAGAGCTGGAGTAGGGCAAGGTGGGAAGTCAGGGGCTGGGCCCAACCCCACTCTGCTCTTCTATGTCTCCCTCTGTCCCACAGAGACAATCTTTGGCACAAGCCCAAGCACCCACAGGCTCCGCAAAAGGAGGCCAGTGTCCTCCAAGCGAGGATCTGCGGCCACCAGCTTCCCAGTGCTGGAGGAGGCTGACGCCGAGGAGAAGGAGACATTCTTGGTCTTCATGGAGCAGCTGGGGGCTGGCCACTTGCTTCCTGAGTAAGGCCAGCACAGTGTATGTGTGTGTGTGTGTGTGTGTGTGTGTGTGTGTGTGTGTGTGTGTGTGTGTGTGTGGTGGTGGTGGGGGACAGACAGGACAGGCACTGCCAGTCAGCGTGGGCGAGGACTTGCCTGGATACAGTGCCAGGGTTGGAGGCCGCCAGGGAGAGCTGGGAGCAAATCCTGGCTTGGCTACTTGTTAGCTGTGTGACCATGGATGGGCAAGTGACCTAACCTCTGACCTCTGTTTCCCTGGCTGCAGAGTAAGCATAAAAGCTCTTAGGAAGCCATGTGTGGAGATGCCTGCTCACGAGTAGTCCTATGTGATCACTCCTCAGAATAATTAGTGAGCTGAGGTGTCAGCTTCCCAAGGGTACTCACATTCTTAAAAACACAAGTCTCCCTGAGGGGGCCTTCCTTAACCCAAAATAAGAGTCCCTACTAGAGTGATGTCAGGCATGGGGATTCCCTGGGTTGGGCAGATTTGGAGACAAAAGGACGTTTCTTCCAAACTGTCTCAGGTTCTGGGCTCGTGGGGTTCACTCATGCTTAGAAAATGGGGGCCCTGCCTAAAAACGCCCCTGTCACGCCCTTTAGTTCCCACTGGGCCTACAGAGCCAGCAAGGGGATCGCCCAGGTGTACCCACCCCACAGGGTTCTGTGAGGACACGCTCTCAGAGGGCGGAGCCCAGAGTTGTGGGGCAGGCAAGGTGGGATTTAGGGTACAGGCTGGCGGGGTAGGTGTGGTGGGGAGCCATTTACCCACTTGGCAGCTTGGCTTGGGCTCAGCCCTCTGGCACTTGTCTTCACCACTTAATTAATTAAATCCATGTGAAAGCAGCCTTTATCAAGTGCCAAGCCCCAAGCGGGTACTGTACTTTCACTGGCCGTGTGTCTCATTGCTAGCGAACTTGCTGGGCAGGTATCAGCCTCTTCATTTTACAAATAAGCCCAGAATGGGCATGGGACTTGCCAAAGGTCACACAGCTACAGAGTGGGAGAAGAGAGAAGGCAGATGGGAGGCCTGGGCAGTCAGACTTCCAAGTCCCCCTCCCCACAATTAATCGCCAAATCATAGCGAGACAAAGTGTTGTGGGGGTTAAAGAAGGGAGAGGGCACATCTGGGAAGGCTTCCTGGAGGAGGTGGCATTTGATTGCACCTGTAAGTTGTAAATAGATTTTTGTAGCCCAGGTGCCCAAGTCTCTTGGAGTGTTGCCATTAACACCAAGGACTGGGGCTCCCCCTGTTTGGGGTCCCCCTCATGTCTCCTCCCCTCCCCAGGCAGGCAGAGATCTGGCAGCTGTGGGGGAAGCTGCGGCAGGAGGAGCCTCACTTGGCAGGCAACCTGGAGGGCTTCCTGGCCAAGATGACCAGCCGCCTACAGGAGGCACAGGCTGACAAGGAGGCTCTGGAGCTGACCCTGAGGAAGTGAGTGGGGGCCAGGGGTCCTCTCCCATTTGGCATCTGGCACGTAGTGGGTGCTCTTTACATTTTAATTGAATCTTAATTGAATACCCCCAGCTCTAGAAGAGTGGAAGCCAGGGGTCCCCAGCAGGACTTGGGAGCTGGATGGGGCACAGCTGAGCTGGAAGAAGGGGTGACTTAGGGGACCTGTGGGGAGGACAGAGTTGGGGAGGCAGGTGTGGAAATGCCAAGTGTGTCTTGGTGCAGGGCTGCTGTGGAGCACCGCTCACGTGGATTACAATGTATGTGGTGACCCTGGGGTTGGCATGGGCACAGGCCTACAGAGGATCTGAATTATGGAGGTAGGAGGATAGTGACAGCAGGAAGTGGGGCAGAGTGATGGGGCAATGCGGACCATGTGACAAGACCAGGAGAACCAATATCGTGGTGATGGTTACAGGAGTCAGCATAATGAGATCAGGGTGACAAATGTCAAGGGCATAAGGGTCAGGAGCTGTTATTAGGATGACCGTTTTCAGGGTGACAGGGGTCAGTGACCACTGACAGAGTGAGGTGAGCAGTAAGTATGATGGACTCCCAACCGAGGTCCAGACCTCCTCTGCCAGCAGCAGGGTTCCAGGGTGCTGATGGGCTGCCTGGCCCACCTCCCACCCCTTCCAGGCGGGACTCTGACCACCACCGAGAGGTCCAGCAGCTGTACGAGGAGATGGAACAGCAGATCCACCGGGATAAGCAACAGCTGCAGGCCGAGGTGGGCTCCCCCTGCAGCCCGTCCCTCCCTGCTGCCCTGGACTCTGCTGGCTAAGCAGTGGAGCCGGTGACTGGCCAGCGTGGGGTAGCGGAGATTCCTGGGAGTAGATCCCCTCACACCCCTGATCAGAGAGGTGGGGTGAAGAGTGCTGAGCCTGAGCCCCCTGCCCCTCTTTGCCAGGTCTCACTGTGTTCCCTGAAGCCAGTCTTTCTACTCTCTGGGCCTGTTTTCTTGTTGTCACAATCTAGGGTTGAGCCAGGGAAATTGTCCTGAGACCCCCTCCTTGCTGGGACATCCTGGACCCTGGACCCCAGGCCTGGGAGGAGGTGAAGTGTGGGGAGGGACAGCCCAACCTGGCTGGGTCTTAGATTCTGCAGCACAGGAGCTGAGACCTTTCTGCTCCTCAGAGTGACTCCCGGGACCTGGCCCTCAGCTCCCAGATGCAGGAGGTCCTGGAGGCCAAGGAGCGTGAGGTGCGCCAGCTGACGGAGGGCCAGAGGGAGGTAAGTGACGGCCTTCCCGGGAGCCCAATTTCTGAGGATTCACAGCCTCTGACACCCCTCTCCTAAGGATTCACTAGGCTGCTTGGGCTCCCATATGTGAGTAGCCCCCTGGGAAAGAGGTGTCTTAGGCCCTTTTCTGAGAAGAGGCCAGGTAGTACAATGGAAGCACTGGGACATGAGACAGGAGGTCTAGGTTCAAATCCCTGTGGCTCCAATGAAGAGCCATGCAAATCTGAGGGAATAACTTTGCTTGTCTTGGCCTTAGCTTCTCTATCTGTAAAATGGGAATAGCCACGTCCACTGCATCTCCCAGGCTAATTGTGTCAAGTGAGGTAATAAATGCAAGAGCCCCGGGCAAACACGAGGCCTCAGCACCGAAGAGGCTTGGTGATAGGCTGGTGTTTAGCTCATCTCCACTATCAGCTGAGTGACCTTGGGCAGGTTTTTGACCTCTCTGAACCTGGGTTTCCTCATCAGAGAAACGGAGATCAGAACTCTTGCCTTAGAAGGCTGCTGTGATGATTAGAGATTCTATATTTAATGGCCTGAGATGGTGCCTGACACGTAGTAGGTGTTTTATACATCGCCGTTGATACTGACTCTGAACCTGACCTGGATTCCTGGTAGAATACCTGCTGCCCTGACACCCCAGGTCTTGCAGCCTATGGTCACTTCCAGTTGGCACTGTGGCCAAGTCTGGGTCTGAGACCCTCAACTCCCAAACCACTGACCTGAGTACAATCGCCATCTGTGGTGACCAGGACACCTGCCTGCGTCCCTTCAGCACTGTGTAATGTTCCCCACAATTGCCTTGGCTGGCCCTGTCACCTGGTCTCTCCTTCCCCAAACGGGTTGATGTTCCAGGTGCCTCTGCAGCAAGCTGTTCATTGGAAACGGAAGCAGGCCCCTTCTGCCAAGGGAGAAGTTTGGACTTTCCACATGGGACCATTTTGTCCTGTCCCCTATGGACATGAAGCCTCTCCCCCCAGACCCTTCATTCCTTCACCCAACACCTATTTAGGGCACACCTACTATGTACCAGGCACAGTTCTAGGTTCTGAGGAACATGATAGACACAAACCCCTGTCCATGGAGTTATTGTCTAGTCAGGGATATGGATGATAAGCAATATAAGTAAATAAAATCTATACCATATTAGACAATGAAAGTGCTAAGGAAAATAAGGTAAAGCAGGGCTAGGGGACAGAAGGGTTTTGATAGGGGAGCCGCGGAAGGCCTCACTGAGAAGATGACATAGGAGGAAAAGCCTGAAGGATGTGAGGGGTGGGCCATGGGAGATCGGGGGGGAACAGCAGCCGAGGCAGAGGGAACCGTGAGTGCAAAGGCCCTGAGGTGGGCACAAGCTTTGAATGTTCAAGGAACAGCAAAGAGACCTGTGGGCTGGAACAGAGGTAGGGGAGAGTGACAGTGGGAGAGGCGGTCAGAGATGTAACAGGGGCGGGTAGGAGAGTCTGTTAAGGACCCTGGAGGCCATTGTGTGGGCTTTGCTTCCCACTCTGTGGTCAAGCAGCTCTCCATCTCTAAGTCATGCACCTTGCTGCTGGATCAGGAGCTCCCTGCAGAGGAGATGGGGCTCCAAGGTGAGCAGCCATTGCAGAGTGTTGAGCAGAGGAGGGTGAGGTCCCATTTACGTTTAGGGCCCTTGTGGTGCTGGCAGTTTGTGTTTCTTACACAGTCTCCTCTCTCATCCCTACCCTAACAATTCAAATGTCTCTCCTGGGTGGGAGGTCATGGAGCTAATTAGGTCAGTGAGGGGTACCACCGCCCCGCCCCCAGTCCTGTGTTTTAAGTTGGGTCTCCAAGGAGCTTGGAGTCTGTGCTTCACAGTGGCTTTGGGAGGCTGCTCATTGCCCTGGAGGGCAGCTGGGCTTCTCACCTCCTCACCCTCTACCTCCTGCAGCTGGAGACCCAGCTCCACCGCCTCAGCAGCACACACCAGGAGGCCAGCTCGGAGAACCAGCAGCTTCGGCAGACGGAGCGTGACCTGGCTGGGCAGCTGGAGGAGGTGCGGGAGCAGCTGCAGGTGACCAGGGGGCACCTGAACGTCGCTAAGGGCCGTGTGTCCTGGCAGGTGGAGGAGGAACCAAGGTAAGTGGCTGCCATCCCTGGGCTAGGTGAAGACCAGAGGCTTCCTGGAAGAGGGAGGGAGGTGCTGGGTTCTCGGAGGATCTGGTAACCACCCAGAACATATGGTCCCCCTCCTTGACATTAGCTCATGACAACATTGCCATGCTGAGATTATCATGCCCATTTCTCAGACAAGGAAACTGAGGCACAGAGAAGGGAAAGTCGTGTGCACAAGATCACACAACTGATCACACACACACACACACACACACACACACACGAGATTTAGTGCAGTGCTGGACCTCAGGCAGACACTCACTCAACTTTTACAGTTCAGAGGAGTGGGATGGGCCAAAATGGTCAAGGAAGGAATCCTGGAGGAGGTGAGGCTTCATATAGGCCTTGAAGGGTAATCAGGGTTGGATGACGGGGAGGAGTGGGGAGTACATGCCATGTCAGAAAGACTACTGAGCAAAGACTGGGAAGGAGGGCCAGCTGAGAGGTGTGCAACTGATGGTGAGGTTATTAGGAAGGTGTGACATCTACCTGCCCCTCTCCTGACCTTGGCTTCCTGCACCTTTTCTAGTGTCCCCAGTGCAAGTGAGGAGAAGGCTTCCGACCCTCAGGCAGTCTCCTCTGAGGAGGCTCCCCTGCCCGGACTGTTTGGGGACAGCGATGATTGGGACCAGCTCCTGAGCAACTTCAGCAGCCCCCCACAAAGAGCCCTGCAGCTCTATTGGAGCCCACCTCCAAGCCCGAGGTCCCCTTCAGAACCCCAAACACCTCGAGTGGTCAGGCAGATCTCCATCTCAGAGTCGCATAAGTTGCTGTTTGGTCAGGAGCCATCTTTGGATCCAGATGGGGCTCCAAGGAGCCCCCCTGGGGTGCTCTCCAGGGCCAAGGAAGGGGAAGGAGAGGACCCAGGTGGGCAAGACCTCAGTCTGGAGCAGCCTGTCCAGCCTCACAGCCTGGAGCCTAAGGAGGAGTCAGGGCCTGGCCCTGAGTCCCGCTTCCCCTGGGGTCTCCCCGGGGCCCCAACTGGGGAGTCAGGGAGCCTGGTGGCAGCTGCACTCAAAGTGCTCACTCCTCTGGAGGATGGACCCCCTCCCCAGGTGACCTCTCCCCATCCCGAGGCCCCAGCTGGGCTCAGCAAACAGTTTCATGCCTCATATCCAGATGCTAAGGACTCCTGGCCTGGGCCTATCCCAGCCAAGCCACCCAGGCAGAGAGAAACCCTCCATCAGGACCCACACACTGCTGGCTCTGAGCCAGGAGTGGGGTCCCCAGGAGCTGGGGCCTTCACACCAGAGCTGGCTGAGCTCTCCCAGGGTCTGGAGTCTGTGGCTCAGGCTCCCACAGAGGGACTGGAGCAGAGCAAGCCAGGCCCGGATGTTCGGGTGGGCCGTCCTGCGGGGCTAAGAGAAAATCGTGGCCAGGTCCTTGGGTCAGATGAGCTGCCTGCCCTCCCTGACCAGAGTCTGGAAGAGGAGCGCAGGGCTGAGGAAAGAAAACAGGTGGGCGGAGGAGGACAAGGCCTCAGTTCAGAGCAGTCAGTTGAGGCTCAGGGCCTGAAAACTGGGCATTCAGAAACCCCCCAGCAAGATTCTCTGCCTGCTCCTCACCCACTTGACACACCACAGGCTCTGGCTGAAGCAGAAGCCCCTGTTTCTGGAAAACTGTCACCTCCAAGGGGCTCTCCCCCGAGGGGGGCTCAAACTGGGGGTGGAGCAGAGCCCCAGGAGCCCACGCAAACCCTGTCCATCATGGCTGAGCTGGAAACCCAGCCCGTGCCTCCAGCTGCAGCTGCTTACACAGAAGGAGAACAAGGTCCCCTACAATCGGGGGAGCCAAGGGCAGAGAACAGGCCTGAGGACCCAGGAACAGATTCTGGGGAGGTTGGGCTGACCCCATCATCCTCAGCGGGCCCCACGGCCAGCCAGCCTCCAGCCGACCCTGACTACATCTTCCACATCATCTTCCTGGGAGACTCGAACGTTGGCAAAACATCCTTCCTGCACCTGCTGCACCAAAACACCTTTGCCACTGGACTGACAGCTACCGTGGGTAAGGGCCCACCTGGGGAGGGCAGCAGGGGAGGGCGGGGAGGCCCAGGGGCCCTGCCAGCAAGCCACAGCAGGCCCAGAGCGAGCCATCTCTGAGGAGGCTGCAGGCTCTGTCCTGGCCACAGGCCCTGCATTAGACGGTGTTTTATATGGGCATACACTTACTATTTTACTAATCATCTCTAATTACAGGTAATTTGCTTTTTTTCTGCATTGATCTGATTAGCTTATAATGTGCCACATCAACAAAGCACCCTGCAATTTAGGTGCTAGCGCTGGTTGATGGTGAAAACAAGCAAGTCTCCACCCACTGGTTGGGTTTGTTTGTGATTAGGCCCAGGCCAGCCAGCCAGGCCCTGACAGGAAGCCGCCTTGGGCGAGCTGAGTCTCTTACACAGAATGTATTTGCAGAATGTGGTAAGTTAGGAACCTGGGTGCCTGAGTTCAAATCCCAGTTCTGCCACTTAATAGCCATATGCACTTGGAGAAATTATTTAACCCCTCTGAGCCCCCAAATCCTCATCTGCATAATGCGGACAACACTAGTGCTGACTTCCTGGAAGTGGTTATAAGGATTAGTTCGGTTAATACATGTCAAACTCTTAGAATAATATCTGGGCACGTAGTACGTGCTAGTATATTGTTATTTTTTTGTTATTATTATAAGTAAATGTTTCATAGTGTCAAAAATTACTGGCTGCTGTAAATGAAATGTCCCAAAGCACAAAGCTTCGTCTCTCTAAAAATATTGAGATATATGGCCACTTGAATGTTGTATAGAACCACAGAAAAGCAAGCTCACGGAAATGAAGAGGAAACCCTCTTGGGGACAAAGATGGAGTGATCTACGACTTTGTGTCAGTCAGGGTACATGCTGACTGGGACCAGCGCCAGACCAGTGGATAAATGACAGCCCCCCCCCCCCCACACACACACACAAGGGAGGCCCAGGACAAGTTCTCAAACTTTTCTTTGCCTAAGAATCCTCGCCTGGGAAGTCAGTTAAAAATGCAGTGTCCTGGGGAGTGCGGAACCCATAGCAGGCCTGGCCTGATGTTGAGTAGGGTCACGGGAACTGCCGAGTCACCATTATTAATCCCCTAAATTACTGGTTACTGACCATCTACCATGCACCTGACATCTTACATCCATGCCTTATTCCTTACAACAAACAGCCTTCCCTATAACTGAGTCTCTCCCCACTTATTATGTAGTAAAAAGGTTCCAGAAAATGCCATCAAGAAAAACACAGATTGCATAATTGTAAAAAGACAGGGCAAGCCGGCATGCGCTGCTAACCGGCCGGGAGTACCTGAGATTCCCGTGTGCGATCCAAACCTGTCCCAGTTCCAGCTGCGGCTTGGTGCCCCCTGGTGGCTGCCAGCCATCTGGCTTAACCATTGCTGGCTCCCTGAGTCACGAAAATTCCCCCATTCAGTGTCACCCTCCTCCATTTCCATCCCCCTCTCTCAGAAGGTAGGAGGTATAGCCTGCCTGCATTTGAGAACCAGGTGGAAGACCAGAGCCAGAGTCAATTGAGTTATACCTGAATATGCATTTTTGCCAGGCTTTTCCATATCTATCCCCATTTTTCAGATGAGGAAAACAGAGAATTGAACAAGAAGAGCTTGCTTCTGTTTCTTGCCCTAGCTGGGCCCCAAAGTTCATACCCAGGGCCACCTGCCTTCCAAGCACATGCGCCCACACCAGAAGATTTATCCTCGTTTGGAGTCAGCGTTTCTCTCTCTGTGGGGCTGCTCATGTAAAAGAACAGATTCCTTGGGAAGGAGAAAACATAGTCCTCTCTGTTTATGTGGTTACGTCGTAATCTGTTTTGGGAGAAAGTGTGGGGACACATGGGTGAATTGAGGAGGGGATGGGCAGGGAGGTAGAAAGGTGGGAGCAATGGGGGAGTTACTCAATGCAAGGAATAATTGTTAAAAGCCGTTCAGTAGATTGCACAGTGGGTATTTAGGCTGGATGTTATTGCAGGGGTTTGGATTAAATAACCTCAGGGGTTCCTGCAGACCCTGAGTTTCCTAAGGCCTTCAGAAAAGAGGGCAGTAAAGAGACATGGATGTTACAGACAAAATTCTGCTTCACCATGTTGTTAAGGTCAGGTGTCCTGGGCTGCCACTTCTCCCAGCTTCCTGTGGAGAGTACGACAGTGGGAGGAGGAGGACTATGGTGTCAGCCACCAGCAGGGGCCAGCAGCAGGTGCTCATGGGGGTCACCATAAATGACCTTGAGAAAAGTATCTACCAGCTGAGGCTAATATGAGGAGACACCCCTTTCCTGAGCTGGCCTGGGGCCTGCGGTGGGCTCTGCAGCTTCAGGGCACTGTTAGGAAAGGGGACGGGGACAAAGAAGCCCCTCTCCATCATTCCCCACTCCACCTGGATTCCTTGGGAAATGGGGGCTGGCAGGAGGTAGACCCCAAAGATTCAAAACTTCCTTGTGATTTCACTATTACCTCCATATTTCCAGGGGCAGAAAGGGTCTGGAAACATGACCACGTGGAGGGGTGGGGCTGTGAAATTTGAGGGGGGCTGGGGTTCAGGGAGATGAGAATTAAGAACGATAATAAAAATGACCACCTCTGTAACATTGCCCCCTTCCCCCCCACACACACACAAACTAGGCTAAATTTTGGACGTAAGACATTTAACCCTCCCAGTCACCCTGCAGTGAGTCTTTTTAAATTGCCACCTTGCAGATGAGGAAGGGAAGCTCAGAGAGGTGAGTGACTTGGCTGATGTCACACAGCTGGTACAGAGGTAAGGGGTGGACAACTTACAGCCCGATCAGTCCTCTCTGAAGCCGGCGCTCCTTCTAACCTCCTAGGCTGCCTGTCTATCCCACCGTCTGGCTGAAGGGGGAAGATTCACGCAATAATTAGGAAATGAAACAACAAGCATTATAAAAATAAAATAATGAAACCGATTTTCCTGAGTAGACTAAGGAATCAGCATTGCTGTGCAATGGGAAAGACAGATATGTTCGAAGACATCAAAACAATGCAAAATGCCTTGCGTTGGCACCGGCAACCAGGGTGCAGGAGACCAGCGGGGTCAGCCACCCTCACGGGCTGGGTGTTCAGGGACGGCTTCCTGGAAGACATGGGCCCTTGAAAATAGATGGGATTTGGGGAGCAGAGGGGAAGCCCAGCAGCCGGAGGTTTCCATCCCCTGGGGCTGATGTTGGGGACAGGTATATATTCGGGTAGGCTTTGGCTGGATGGTAACTTGAAAATAGGCCTAACCCCTCCCTCTCTGTGTGTCCTAGGAGTGGATTTTCAGGTCAAAAACCTGCTGGTGGACAACAAGTACTATGCGCTTCAACTCTGGGACACGGCTGGCCAGGAGAGGTAACAGGCACTGCCTACGTTAGTGGTGTCTGTGACCGGGGCTGAGCCTGGGGTGTCAAGGGGTGGAGGGCAGTTTGACTTTCAGGAGTTCCACATGGGCAAGAGACCACCCGGTGCCAAAGGGGCATCCGCCCCTGGAAGGACTTAGGAGGTCGGGGGAGGAGAGGTGAGTTCAGGCCCAGTAGGGAAGACTGGGAGAGAGACCCAGAGGCCCTCTCAGCCTGGCAGGGCCTCTGTGAGGGCCATCTGTCCCCCCCCCACACACATGTCCCCACATGGTCCTCGGGAACAGCGACCCAATTGCTGGTCCTTCTGAACATACTAGACTTCCACTTTTCAATTAGGCAGTGTAATCAAAGCTTAAAAGGCACTTCTTTGACCCAGCAGTTCCACTTCTAGAACTTCATTCTTCTGATAATCTCATACAGGACTGTAATCTCAGAGGAACCAAGAATTTTCACAGCAGCGTTAATATTATAAAACACTGGAGACAACCTAAACGTCATCAATAATGGACAAGACACATAAGTCAGGGTCTATCAACACACTAGAATATTATGAAGCCCCAAAAAAGACAGAGGATCCTCTTTTTGTACCAATAAGGAAATACCTCTGAGACATTTTACTGACTGGAAAAAATAAAGAATAGATTGCTGACTATGTATGATACAGTGAGTGTTTTACACTGTACTTGTGTAAAACAGGGGACAAAGGGTCAGTGTGTATATGTGTGTATAGATATATGTACATGAATATACATTTATGTATGTTCATAAAATACCTCCGGAAAAATATTTAAGAAATTGGTTGCCTCTGGGGAGGGGGACTGGGTGGCTGCAGAATGGAGGTGGGGTTGGGAGGGATGACAGACTTTTCGCTGGGTGCCCTTTGGCACCTTTTGAAATTTAAGCCATGAGAACTGTTACCTATTCAACAATAACTCCGCTGTAAGAAGGAAAGCAGGTGCACATTCTCTTTGGGAAGCAACTAGAAGCAGGACAGGTTAATTCTCCCACTTTGCAGGTGGCTGAGGCTTGAAGAGGCCAGGGCTGGGGTCAGCCCACCAGGCCTGGCCTCACGCACTCTCTGGGCAGGTACCACAGCATGACACGGCAGCTGCTCCGCAAGGCTGATGGAGTGGTGCTCATGTATGACGTCACCTCCCAGGAGAGCTTTGCCCACGTGCGCTACTGGCTAGACTGTCTCCAGGTGAGCAGATGGTTGCTGGGGCTGGTCCCAGTTTTTTGAAGTCAAGAGAGAACTTGTACCCTGGCCACTCCCCCCTTTTCTCTCAGGATTACAAATGATACAATATACATATAAGTGACACCTCCCACTGAGGGCATGTGGCTGGAAGGGCTGGGAAAAGTAGAAAGGAACCACAACCACACAGTACAGCCTCCAAAACAAACTACTTTCTTTATCCTGTGACCATTTCTTTCCCACATATAGCAGCTCTGTGATGTCTTCTTAACACCTGGGGAATAATGCAATTCTAGTACCACTCTAGGTGATAATTCCTCTGGTCACACATCTCTAGTTCTTTCCTCCAAGTACTCAATTGAGATGTATATGCTAAAATTCTGCGGTGTATACTAGCACAGAGGAATATGAAGTAAGACATGTTGTCTTCTTTCTAGAAATTTCTAGTCTAGTTGAAGAGATGCGAAAGAAGTAGGCTAAAGTACTATACAAGGGGAGCTGGGCTCTGGGCTCAGACAGGACCCAACTACCCCACCCCAACTCTATGACCCTGGACAAGTGACTTAGCCTCTCTGAACTTCCATTTCCCCACTTCTCTCATAGAGGAGTTGTGAGGGTTAATTGGTATTGCTTGCTTTCAGCACAGCACCTTAGTATATAGTAGGCACTCAGCAAACAGAAGCTATTACTATTGTTATCCATGAAACAATTAGGAAATGAGCCAAGTCAGCCTGTGTGATCAAGCACTGGCTGTTCATCAGTTAGGAAGAGATGGGGCAATCCATGAAGGCTTCCTGGAGGAGGTACCTTTGAGGTTGGCCTTGGAAAGTGGGTGACATGCTTGCAGGCAGATAGGAGGGGCAGACTCACTACAGAAGGAGGGAAAAGTGTCAAGGTGGGAAGGGTGTGGCGTGAGCGTGACATGGAAAGGTAGACGTGTGGAGGAGGAGGAGGCCCATGGCCAGCTTCCCGGAGGACAGGACCAAATCCGCCCAGGGCCTGGCACACAGCAGGCGCTCAATATGTGTGGCTGAAGGAATGTGTTCTGTGTGCAGGACTCAGGGTCCGATGGAGTGGTTGTTCTTCTCCTGGGAAACAAGATGGACTGTGATGAGGAGCGGCAGGTGTCCACCGAGGCTGGGCAGCAACTGGCCCAGGTGAGCACCTGGGCGTCGGCCCTTCCTCCAGCCTGGACTGGGCAGTCCCCTCCCTGGAGGGTAGTGAAAGGCCACCCTGACCTGGGCAACCAAGAAGGACCCATTGACCATTTTTACCCATGCTTGGCCAAGGGCCAGGTCAGAATGCACAGAAGCCTGGCCACCTCTGCCTCCCACCCACCCCAGCCTTAGACCCAAACATGAGGCTGTAATGGTGGGCATGACATTGAACCTCACTGCTGAACTAACAGATCCCCACCCAGTGTCCTGACCGACATAAAAAATAGCTTCAGAGTAAAAAGGTTTTAAAAGCGTCACTTAAAATTCCCAATCAAATCTTAATTTTATCTCTGGTCTCTAATTAACATGACATTCCTTCTAATTTATTCCATCTTAAGACTTAAATTCTTCCCCAGGAAGATTACATCAAAAGTCCCACCACCAGACAGTGGATACTATTTATTTATAAATAGAATTTGACCACATTCCAGAAAATTTGGAGAATAATAAAGGGGGGGAAAAAAAAAACCACTCCTCGCCCCACCTCTGACATAACCCATCTTGGCGTTTTCACACTATATTTCCTTCCCATTCCCCCTCTCATTTCTCATACTTGTGAGGCCATCACTGTGGCGCCTGGTTGGCAGGAATTTTTTTCCTCTTACAAGTACTAGCTCATCTCTTTGACATGGTAATTCCTCCTCAAGCAACTTATCCTAAGGAAAGAAACAGAAATAATAACCGCTAAGAGAATAATGTAATGGATACTTGTGCATCATGTATAATCAAACAGGTTTACATGAGGTGTTCTTTACAGTAGTGTTTGTAAGGACAAGCGCTGGACAGCAGTTGGTCATTACATCCTGGACATGTGTGTGAGAGGTTAGGATTTGCCATGAAGAGTCCTGTCCTGGAAAAATATTTAAGGGCGTCGAGGAAGTGCTTGCAATATAATGTGAAGTCCGAAAAGCAGTTGCAGGGTTGACTAGTTAGCTCAGTTGGTTAGAGCATGGTGCTGATAACACCCAGGGTTACTGGTTCAATCTCCGCATGGGCCACTGTGGGCTGCACACTCCCTAAAAGAGTCAACTATGCCATTGTAGCATGAAAGCAATGTGTAACCAATGACCATGGCTGTTCTCCACCCCCCCCACCCCCCCACACACACAAAAAGCAGCTACAAATCTGGGTACCGGTTAGATTGACCCAGATAAGATTGCCAATGCTTGTTTGGGGCCTACTAAAACAGCAACTTCATATGGTTTAATCTAACAGTATAATTTAGCTCGTCCCCGCAACCCCCAATGAAAGGGTTATATAAAACAGAATGGAAGTATACAGGGTATACACATTTTGAGAAAGGAAAAAATTATTAAAAAACTATTAAAATTGTAATACTCAATATATACTGACAACGAAAGATGAATACAAGTCACGTTTGACTTCTGCAATTACAAGAGGTGCTCAAAGTGGTTACCGTCAGCATCCAGACACTTCTGATTATGGTGAACTACTGCTTTGAGCAACATTGACCAAAGTGTCCACTTGTATATATTTTTTTGGTACCCCCTGGTATACTCAAATACTAACAGGAGTGGTTTATATTTTGTACTTTTTATGCTCTATTTTCCAATATTTCCCCCAACTAAATATTTTTTAAATAAAAAAAACGTAACTAATGGTTTAAAAATGTCAAGGACATTTTTTTCAAGTTGGGACATGGGCTTCCCACTGTCACTCTGAAGGCTGTGGAATGTTTCCAGGATGTCATCTTTGACACCGTGGTCAGCCAGGGTGGAGGGGCAGTGGGCAGAGGGGTGAGGCTGGGGGCCATGGGCCACATGGAGATGGGCTGCCTCACCCATTGGGGTTGACCTAGGGACCACTGGGTGGGACTCTGTCTGATGACCAGGCCTTTGGTGGTGGGGACTGCTGCCTGGACTCTAGGGGTCTTCCCTAGGCACCAATACCCCTGTCTGTCTGCCCTGCAGGAGCTAGGGGTCTCCTTTGCAGAGTGCAGTGCTGCCCTGGGTCACAACATCCTGGAGCCTGTGGTGAACCTGGCCCGGTGAGTGCCACCCCGTCACTCCCTGCCCAGAATCTGCGTCTGAGCAGCTTTCAGCTGACTCAGGTGGGAAGGGAAGGCCCATTCTAGGAAGCACGTAGGAAACCACAGGCTCGCCAGTCTGGGGAAGGAGAGAGCACTGCGTGGGCGGTCTCCTGACTCCAGTTCTACCAGTCCCATTTGCTGCATCACCTCCCAAAAGCCACAGCCCCTCTCTGAGCTTCAGTTGTCTCATCTGTAAAGTGCAGTGAGAGAGCGAGAGTCACTCTCCGGCTCCCAACATTCTAGTGACTTCCACTGGATTTAGAATAAAATCCAAATGTCTCACAATGTCCTGTGTTGTCGCCTGTGTCATCTCCTTTGTCCCTGCCTGCCCATGTGCTCACTCACTCACTCACTCACTCACTCACTCACTCACTCAGCTTTAGCCCCTCAGAGAGGCCCTCCCTGACACCCCCCCCCCAATATTCTGGACCACTGTCCTCTGTTTGCATCCTTCCAAGCCCTTCTGGACACATTGTAATTACACGTGCACTTGTCTGTTTTCTTGTTGTCCTCTGACTCTTCCCTCCCTAGGCTATAGCTCCAGGAGGATGGGGCCCTGTCTGTTTTGTTCAGCCCCTCTCCCCACACCCAGGCCTAGAAAATACCCGGTGCTCAATAAATGAATGAAATGAGTAAGAGGGGAAGGGTATCAGACCAGAGGATCTCTAAGTTCCTCTGACAAAGCAACTAGAGTGAGCCTGCTAAACTGCAAACCTCATCAGGCCAGATGCTCTCTAGCAAAAAACTGCTCAATGGCTTCCGTTCACTTTAGGATTAAAGTTCCTTCCAGGCCCACAGAGTCCTGAACCCCTGCTGCCTCCAAGCCTTCTTTCTGACCATTCAGTCCTTAGGCTCTGTGGGGTCCCCAAGCTCAGTCTTCGTTTTAAAATTATTATTTTTTATTGTGAAATACACATTTTTTAGAATTAGTTTCAGCTGTACAACACAGTGCAACAGTTATACTTTTTACCCCTCGAAGTGACAACCCCCCTCCCCCAATCTGCTTCCCCACCAATATCATACATATCTATTACAATTCCCTTGACTCCACTCCCACACTATACTCCACGTCCCATGACTATATATATATATATA